GCGAGCGGCCGGCCCTCGGCCCTCGCTCGGAGACGTGCACTTTGTGATAAGGCACTGAAGAGACAAAGTCAGAATTCTCCCTGCTTTATCCAGAGTGCAGATACTACCCACGGCTACAAGGACTACGGATACACACAACATGGACTTCTAATCCCCTTCAGCGGGTTTCTCTAGTTACCGCCCCTCCAGTCACACTTTGACAAGTTGAGTATTCACACCTTTTTTATTTTAAAATGTACGTGTGCCATATGTAGTATTTTCAGGCCCACCAATAAATGGAATTACCAGTGATGTGGCCCAGGCCCCAGCAAAGGTCCGCGCTGCACGCGCTTGTGGTGCCGGGATGCTCCGGGGCTCAGCACGGGCAGGCAGGGAGGCTGGTTCCCAGGGGCTCAGCCCCACGGCTCCTCTGCCCACGGCCAAGGAGAAACCAGCACGCTGTGGGCTGTCCCAGAGGCAAACGCAAAGTCAAGAGCGCTTGAGCTGGGAAATCGTAAAGGCCAAAACTGTAAAAAATGGCATTTAATGGCATCTTTTCCAAACCAGTCTGAAACGCTATCATTTTATGGGGATTATGTGAACAAAACAAAACAAATCACAAATTTCAACCTCATGCTGGGTATTACTCAAATTTCCTGGAAGAACTGCAAAAGAAGACAGCGGGGGGGAGGTTGGCTGCCCGTCTCCCTGCAGCTCAGCCCCAACTCCCCGAAACAGGCCAAGGGAGATGCAGGAACCCTACAACGAAACGGATCCGGGTTCTGTATCACTCATTTCACTGGTGCTTCTGATGTAAATCATTTCGTCAAGGCAATAGGACAGATCGGATTTGGGGTGGAACGTGCAGACACCCAGCGACCGACGTACTCTGCCGTGGGGCGTGTGGGAGCCCCGGAGCTGGTACCGCGGCCACGAGGCAGTCACTGTATCTTGGTGTCTGCTCTGTCTCCTCGAGCACCTTTTCCCAATCGTTACGCGAGTAAACGCAGTTCTCCTAAATCCCGTTCCCGTGTTGCCTGACCCCAACCCACGGCCGTCTAGCTTGGGAAGTACTGAAGTGAAATTTGTACAAGCCTTTGTTTTAATTGCAAACAATTTGAAGAAATCATTCCCTGCTGGGGAGTTGGCCTTTTAACGTCGCTATTAAATGAAATTTTATTATAGCACGACTCTCGCCCTGCTATTCAACCGGGGTAGAGGCGTGAGCTGTGTTAAGAACTCAGCAGTTTTACCTCCTGACGGCTTGAAGATAACGCTGCTTTCGAAAAACCGAAATGGCCTCCTGGCAGGAAAGGGATTTTATGGCAGTGGGTTTTGGTCTGGGGCCGTGAGACTTTCTGCATACTGAGTGCAACGTCTTTACCACCCACCCACAGCCCAGCGGAGGCATTTTTCAGTGCTGCTCATTTAGGAAATACTTCTTCCCAACTTTGGTTAAATTCTGCTTTTGGAAAGCCAAGCCCCTGTTCCGCAGGGTCCCGCCCCAGCAGCCCAAGGGCAGTTTAACCCCAAGGCTGTCGGGGCTCTGCCCGCCCTGCGCAGACACAGCACGTAAAAAAAACCCCAAAATAAAAAAAACCCCAACCCCAGAGCGGTGACATCGCCCCAAGCGCTGCTCACCACCGAGGGGCAGCCCCGGGCGGGCAGAGCCCCGGGACCAGCCCAGCAGCCGCGGCCCCGACTTCACAAGGTGAAACGACACCAGAGCGGGTCTGAAGGCACCAGGCGTGGAAACACGAGGATTTACCACGTGAACACCCAACGCTTCCTGTGGTATTTTATACTTTCCTTCTACCACTAAACTTTTTCGGCGTCAGTGTCTGCCCTGGTAAGGAGCTTTCATCAGCATTCTGACAACGGGTAAGAACAAATTAGATTGTAAATTAATTCTGATTTTTGTCTCTAAACACCCTCCATGCTGGTGTTTCAGCTCAGCCGTCCCGCCAGCTCCCGGCCTCTCCGACCTGTGCTCAGGCGGGTTTGCTCGGGCGCACAGACCCGACTGTGATTCGATTATAAAACTGTGGTGCCGATTCCCCTCCAGACAAGGGACGTTACGGAGGCAGCAGCAAGGCCCAGGAAAGGCAAGGACTGACCTTCAGTTGAATCGTTAACCTGAGCTTAAGTGTCAGGAGTTCTCGCACTCTGGAACCGGACTACGGCAGCAAGCGGCTTTAGCGCGACTCCCGCAGGTGGGGCGAACGACGAGAGCAGCGTAAATGAAGCGGCGGGGCCGTCGGACCCCATCCCCTCCAGGCACGCAGCAAGAACTCTACAAAACCATTAGGAGCCATTTAATGAAAAAAGCAGAATTTTATTATATGGTTTCTGTCCATTATTCGGCATTGCTGTAAATGGCTCACATTTACTGCAACTTCTGTACAGATGTGTGGCTTTGTATTACCAGAACAGCAAATTTAAATGAAAAAATAAATGTTCAACAATTCCACACAAGCTTTTACAGTCCAACATTTCACTGAGTAGGTGAAAACTACAGACTTGTTACTACAGAATTATTCAGCATGAATAAAAAACTACAACTTTTATTTTTAAACAGGAGTCACTGGTTTAATTTTTTTTTTTTTTAATGCTGTTTAAAATTACTGTGATAAAAATAATGATTTTTTTAATAATGCCATACACCGGTATGATATAGGATTTGTCCCCAGTATATATCTTTTGTTTAATATACAAAATAGAATAATGACACATCGCTGACTCTATGCTGTTATGCAAGTTAGTTTGGAGGTGGGGGATATTTTCACACACAGCCTTTCATCGGAAAACGAGTGCCTCGTGCTGGTCGAGAGGCGCCGATCCTTCCCTGGAAAATTGGTTCCTACGTAACATCGATGGCTCAGCAACACCTGGTTGCAGACTGGGCTAAGGATGGAGCTGAACTAGTACAGAATAGATACGATCTTTAGAAAAACCTCCCTCCAAGGTTTGACCCTGAAGTCCCCACTCGCTGCAGTTCGACTGCGGGAAACAGGATTGAGCTGATGGTCATGCAGGCACTTCCTCCCGTTTTCTACCCTTCCCGGTGAAAACGGCGAGCTCGTTTTTCGGCTTCGGTGGGCACCTCAGTGAGACTCCTCTTTGGGCTGGGTTTTTCCCTTCTTTTTGCTCCTGTCCTGGGCTGGAGCTCGTCTGGGGGGTGTTTGATGACCCACCCATGCGCACGTACCTCGCCAAAGGGGCCAACCACTATGTCCCATCCCACCCCCTGCCTCGTACTGCTTGTGTCTGTGTGTGGCTGCTTGGCTTGTAGTGCCTGCTCAGGGGCAGCGCCGAATTAACGTGGCACGTTTTGATTAAGGTAATTAATTAGAGAGGCGTGTGTAGCAAACTACATCAGGCGCTCACCTGGGGCTCAGCGCGGGCGGCAGCGGCTGCTCCCCGGGGGGCTGGGGGGCTGTGCAGAGCCGGGGGCTCCCCCGTGGGTCTCCGGGAACCTGCACAGAGCAGCTACCTGCACAGCCACAGAGCTCTGACGAGAGGTATACAACACAATCTCTATAAATGCTGCATAGAAGACATTCATATTGTTCTTTAGCAATAAATACTTGACATACGCACCGAGCAAGCAGGAGATGCGCGACACGGCGTGACCAGGAGGACGTTGCTGGTACCTGCTCGTCCCCGCTCCTCGCTGTCCCGGCCCGGCCCTGGCAGTGACCAGGGACACGTCCCTGCGGCAGGAGCAGCGCGATGCCCCCCGAAACCTCCCCGGGGGCAGAGAGCAGGGGGGCTTCTCACCGTGACTTGGTGTGGTTAACGCTCCGCTGGATTTTACATTAGTCACAACTCCTGGGATTTGGCTCACGGTGCCTCAGGTCAGCGTCTGGTTTTCCTGTTGTTTGGGACTTGTTTTTTCCCCCCCTCCTCCCCGAGCCCTGGGATGGTCACGGGACACATACACACAGAGCTACGATGAGCAACACACACACACATATATATATAT